GGAGGTGGGAGAGGGAGGGGTGGGGAATAGCGGTGAAACAAATGTGCCTATTCTGACAACAATATAGAAAGTCACATTGAGAAGTGAAAGGGATGATAGGGATCGTCCCGAACCGAAAAGAGTGCCCATGATCCTGGCTGGTCCCTTTGCGGTTTCTAAGGTATTTGTAGTGTAATCGGTAAAAGGTCTTCGACCATCAATTCAATCTCGTTCACAACCTAGGAAGGAAATGGGAGAAACTATTCCTACCTGATGAGCTGTTTTCATATCTCCCTCGTGATAAAAGACGTACTCAAAGAGTTGGCGATTCACCTGAAAGTAGCGAGCAATTCGTACTTGTAAAGGGAGGCAAAGAGAACACCAGTTCTACTTTTCTAGCTAGCACAACTCACTGCCTCAATCAGGTGCGCAGATGTTACCGCGGTCTCGAGAGGAAGCTGATTATGTGGCGTATTCCAACAATTAATAAACACTGATATCGCTTCTATTGTCACCCATAGGCAAAGGAAAATGGGGGAGCACCACTTATCGGCAAAGAACATTGAAAGAGCCTCCTTTCAGAAATTCTAGTATTATTGCACTTCAAGTGACCCGTTTTCAAGCGATAATGAACCACGCACGAAATTTTGTAGTGGCTCTTTCATCTTTGGGATGCACATAAACTATAGAAGTTGACTATTTCGTATAAAAATGACCACTTAAAGACACATGGTACGCTCATACACATTGAGGGTGTATGAGACTATCAGCCCCCCAGATGTCGATGTGTCGTGGTCCCCCCGCCCAAACATGCCCAGGAATGGAGATACAGGGCCGTGAAACACGCTAATTCTTCCATGCTCCGCCCACTGCCTTTTTACGGCGCAGATTCCCGCCGTTCATAACATCCGTTGCAAGCGCGCGTGTCGCGTGCGGCTCCTTGGCACTTTGCCAAGTCCTTTAATTGCGCTCTCAAATACGAGTAAAACGCAATTTCCTGATGCGGATTACATTGGAGGTGCTACAAAATAAGAGCAGAAGATGATGACGAGGGCCAGAACTCAAGAGCAACTCGGCTGCATCTGCAGTATCCATCAAGGGCCGCGCATTCCCACAAAACATGAAAATAAAAACAGCCCAAGCGTCCCACTCGTTTGTTCTAAGTATTTCTATGGCTTTGGCGCCGGATCGTAGAAATTTACAGGCCAGTTTATCTAATTTGCCTTTCCTTGATTTTTTCATTTTTGTTTTGTTTACATTTACATCGTTGTGCTTCATTTCTAGCCTGTGTCATCTTCATCTCCTTGTACATGGACTTTGAAGCATGAGCAACACCTAGAGTTTTATTCGCATCAGGAAAGTTGCGTTTTGCTTGTATCAAACTAACGGTGTGCCGTTTTATTTTCATGTTTCGTGGAAATACGCGGCCTCCGAGGGATGTTGCAGAAGTGGCACAGTTGCTTTGAGTTCTGACCCTCGTCATCATCTTCTGTTCTTATTTTGCAGCACCTCCAGTGTTGTCCGCATCAAGAAATTGCGTTTTACTCGTATTTGAGAGCGCAATTAAAGGACTTGGCAAAGTGCCAAGGAGCCGCACGCGACAGCCAGCTGCTTGCAACGGATGTTATGGAACGCGGAATCTGCGCCGTAAAAAGGCAGTGGGCGGAGCATGGAAGAATTAGCGTGTTTCACGGCCCTGTATCTCCATTCCTGGGCATGTTTGGGCGGGGGGACCACGACACATCGACATCTGGGGGGCTGATAGTCTCATACACCCTCAATGTGTATGAGCGTACTATGTGTCTTTAAGGCAAAGGAAAGAGCATACGGAAACGAAGACATATTTTGATTGATAAAATCTACCAGGTACCTCCGAATTTCGCAGATAACTAAAGTTCAAAGAACCACTTTCTATAAACAACCTACCAAAGGATCTGCTGCATACTTATCGACGTTGAGACGCGATAAATTGACAAACGGTCCCTCAGGATCGGAAGCCATAGATGCCTGAACGAATAACAGTTATAACAGCAGTTCGCTCTTTGAGAGAGCGCGAGAGAAACAATTAAAGGGTTATCCCGTGGTTTGTTTGCGCTAAACGCTCTTCAGGAATCAGCGCGCGTAACCCCAGACTAAGTTGTCCCTTTTGTCGGTGGATACGATTCTATCTACTAATTGGCATCTATCCAGCGCTTGAAGGCAAATTGGCACTTTGCGTCGGTGGATCGTGATCCCTGCCGTGTGTTATGTTAACAGGTCCGCAGCTGAGTAGAGTAGCGGACTTTGTGTGAAACTTGCACTTGGCTGAGGGTAAGGCATAACCGCGCTAGTCCAGGAGCTTCATTACTCTACCCCCAGCTTTGCCGCGCTGCCAGCCACACGCCTAATCGTAGCCAGCCGCGCTACTTGTCTGCGCCCTCTCACTTCTGATTGTTCGCTATGTATGAGGAAGTCTTCGCTGCGGAGCCTGTAGAATCGCCGCAAGAGTGCACCCCTTGGAATTCGGGAGACACCCCGCAGGTAACCGACCACCGCCACAACAGAGCAAAGATGGTCGTGGCGTAGATCAGCCACATGGGAAGTATTGTCGTTCCAGGGTGAGTGTCGGTTCGTCTATGCGGGTCGCCTCGACAATCGTTTTGAAACGTGCGCCAGGCGCTAAATTGAATAAATAAGAAATATAGTTTGTACTATAACCACATAAAAGAGTCACTGTTTAAAGTAGGACAACCACGTGTGCTCATTAAGACTGAATAAGCAACCTTGTGCCTTAATCACCGCACAATTTTCCTGACGCACATAACCCACTCAGCAGCTTTTTGAATTTGAGCGAGCGAGAGCGCGAAAAATAGCCTTCAAAATGTGGTAAAACTGAGATATCCGATTACCGTGCGCGCAAGTCGAAGTGCCGAGAGCAGAGCTGCCTACTCACAGCTCGGGCTGTACGAGCTGTTCGACAGGGGGGGGGGGGGGGGGGGCGTGCGTACTGCCTGTTCCATAGTGCCTGGACGCAGCGAGGTAATTGGCCGCACCACTCCAGACAACGGTCGTCCTGCTGTCGATGTCGGTCTGAAAGCTGTCATTACTGATACTTTATCGTTTTCCCGGCGCGGGGAATATGTGAAAATTTTTAGTGTGGCGCGATCCAGTAAGTAGACAATCTGATTGCTTTTCGTAAAATTAAGTAGGGATCTACTGTAGAACACCTGTGTGGGAACACGTAGACCTTCCGTATCTTGACTCTTTTTTTTCTGCCCATTGTGCAGGCATGAAATATGCAGATCGTCGGCACTTGGAGGGAGGCCTCCTTTCCCGTGAAAAGCGCCGTTGACTACGCCTATTAAAAGAAGAGCAGTGGCTGAGTGAACTTCCGAGAGAGGAGAGAGCGAGCCAAAACGCTTGAAGTGAAGGTGCACGCACTGTTTCTCTAACTTTGTCAGGCGACCTCATGTTCCAGTTTTGAAGCAGGAAAGGAGGCCGCAATCATAGAGGCGCTTGAATCGTCTTTTCTTAACGTGAACGAACCTCAATATCGGATTCATTCCTTTTGCAGTTGTCGTCGGTCTTTGAAATGAGGTGCCAGGACGTGCATTCGGTGCGATAACATTTTGGTCGAGGAACGTCTCAGCGATGCCGATTTCTTCGTTCTCCAGTTCATCCACATACACGGGATCAGTCAGACAAGAAAGTTTCAACGCCCAGGCAGCCTAAAAAGGTCGTCGTAATAGTTTACCGTTGCATGGAGGAACATTAAGGGACAAGAAAATCACTTACCTGGTCCAGTGGGTTCTTCCTAAGTAGCTTCGTGCATTCCTCTTCACAGGCCTGGATTTGATTATTACGATAGAGGCGCAGAGCTTTGAAAAGCCCATCGAAACATGGAACTGCAGCCGTCTCTATTTCGTCGGACATCTGGATCGTACAGTCACTGAATATTGTCATTGCAAGATGATTACCAACGAATAGCATGCTTGGCCTAGCGAAAGACTCCATCAGTACGCGTAGAGTCTGGGACTGGCAAGATTTGTGAGTTATGATGCGGACGAGCCAAAACGTTGAGCAGGACGGCCGGCTCCGTGAGTGAGAGCCGGACCTGGAGCTGGTACAGCCATACACAGTTGATATCGTCGCTATACCGTGGGCGGCATTGGGAGAGCTGGGATGAGCCCACCGCACTGCGTTTTCCACCAGTGCTAGCTGGTTCAAGTTGAAAAATAATCCAGTTTAGGAAACGCCGTGTGTGGTCTCATTCAAACCGCCGAATCGCGGCGACATCAGCTGCATATACATATGTACTCGAGTAAGGGCCAACTCTGTCGCAAACGCTGGTCTTCAGCTCGAACTGCTACAGAAGCGACCTCAGGGACCCCTAAATAGCGCTACTCGACAGATGTGATGGCTGGTGCCTAACGCAACCAGGCAATTAATCTGGAGGAGTAACTTATCCAGACCAGGAGACAGAACCGTGTCGAGTGGGACAAAGGCTGAATGAACGAGATTAAGATGAGGTGGCCGCAGCAAGGTCCATAAATATACCCCATTGACCACCTTAGAGAGGTCAGCATCAAGACAGCGTAAAAATTAGTTGTTCAGCGCATTTCAACTAGGATGAGATGGATTAACAGTGAGCATCTTCATAGCGCTAACGGGTCCATGCTGCGGTGAACAAAGGCTCAAAGGACCTTAATAAAATATGCAGCTTTATACTATTGCATTCTGTTTCTGCTGAATACTTGTTGCTTCCTCAGTCCGAAAGCAAACATATACGGTAACACTGTTGGAATTCCCGTACACCCTGTTTCTCTGTGCTTTATTAGTTTATCACAGTTTCAGCCTGGTCGCTCTACCAGACACGAGACTATGGAAGCCGCTGATTGCCAAGATGGTTGGGAATGCAATTAAAGGCGAAATAAAATTTTACCGTCGCTAATCGGTTGAAATAAGGGTTTCCAGACAAAAGGCACAGAAAATTGCAGAAAATGCACACGTCGTGTGAATTGCCGTTGCGTTACTATGGCGACGGAGCGCGTTGGTAAGATTCAGGCACGTTTCAGGCAAACAGAGTCTTGGGGTCCGAGATCAATCAACTGAAGTTAGACGCTTTTTGTGTCTAGAATTATGAAATACGATATGAATAGGTTGATAATGGGTTTAATGAAAGCACTGTGAAAGGCGGCCTCGGAAGCCAGCAAAATAGCTACCTCACGCGACTGTACTTTGTAAACCATAGTTGATAGTGCTCACACTACAATCGATCTTTCACAATGGAAACAGAGTTAAGCAGCGCTCGACATCGATCACATTTTCCTAGGATACGCCACAAGCTTTATTTCCTATCAGAATCGTAGTGACTTTTATATGCATCTTCAGTCCAAGCAATGAATTGGGACAAGAAGTGCCTGCACTATTCCCTGTTGTCGTCATTCCCGCTAAAAGTAGGAAACTTTTAAAAACTTGTGGCCTGGTAGAAGCTGGTCGACCTGAGAGAGAAGGTACAGTCGTGGGTTTCATGTGGTGAACAGAGGCGTACTGGCGCTTCTAACTCGATGCCTTCGAAGGCTGTTCTTCAAAGACCGTTACAGTATAAAATGAATTCCATGAAAGTAAGGAAAGGTAAGGGCGCTGAATATCAATCCAATAAATAAAAATAATAAATAGAGGGGCGAACGAGAGCATAATGAATAATGAACCCTCCACACTCATCATAATTCCACTGGTAGCGAGGACTGACAACATGAATTTCATGGGAAGAAAGGAAAGGTAAGGTAAGGCACTGAGTAGCAGTCTAGTCAGTTCTCTATTCCTTC